GCTCCGGCCTGATCAGGGGATGCTGCGGCAACGTCGGTGGGCGGTCCTGGTCGAACCTGGCGAATATGGCGTTGGTGGAGGGGGCGGGGCGCACCGGCGGAGCTTTCTGTCGGATCCTCGCGGCGGGCATCGCACCGACGAGACTGAGAGAACCCGCAGAAAAAAAGCGCAGGTCCTCACACTCGCCTGTCCAACACCCTGAACCTGAAGAGACACGAGTACTCGAAGCCGCGCGGAAGCTCCGCTAGGGCTCCCGTCCCATCGGTGAGGCGCAGCTCCATTCCCCCGAGGAACGCGACGGGAGGGGCGAAGCGCTTCGCAAAGCTCTCGAAGCCGGGCTGGCAGATGTTGCAGAAGTACATGCCGATCGACACCGGCGCCGGCATGCGGGCGATGAACGGCAATTCGTCTCCCGATTCATCGCTTCCGGCACAGACGACGGCCGTGTCGAGGTGCGGTATGGATAGGTAGAGAAACCTCTCCGGGTTGAAGTTCACAGAGCAGCTGGACTCTACGTAGGTGCTGGGAAGCCCCCCCTCCATACACATGAGACGGGCGATGCCGGACGGCAATATCGAAAGACCCGTGGCCTCTCCGGCGAGTAGGGTGATGTAGAAGCGTCTATCCACGTTGGAGAAAGAGCAGCCGTAGTGTCGAGGTGCATGGGCGTCTTTGCGCATAGCCGTTCGATCGTTCAGTGCGTTCTGAACTGCGACCGCGAGGTCGGATTCCGTGTAATTGCCTGTCGGTATATAGAAGATGTGGACGTAGTTCCGACCATCGATGCTCTCGCACCATCTCATGTCATTGCTGCCGTCGGAGACATTCTCCATGCCGATGACACTCATGGTCAACGATACGACCTCGCACGAGAGGACCGACTCCAAGGGGGGGCGGTCGAAGAATACTTTGAAACGATTCGCATTCGGGAATAGACTCCTGTCTCTAGACCCCGAATCTACGGACACAAAGGCATCCTTCACGTCCGGCATCGGTCGCTCGTGTCTATATATCCAACTTTTTAACGGTCACGCATCCTCGACGCACTCCTTCTCCAGTTCTACTCTAGCTACTTCTATGTAAGTCCCGTCTAGGTCCTCGGTGCCCCTCTTGCGCAGCCCGAACACGTACCACCTGGGGCCGTCGCCGAGGTCGAGAAACAGCGTCGGGAAAGCGCGCATGACGGGGTGCTTGAGGATGCTGACGCTGTTGACCTTCGTCGCGAGTGCCTCGTTCCAGAGCCGGACGAGGCGGTCGAGGGAGATGCACCTCTTGAGAACCCTGTCACTGGAAGCGTCCCTCTCTAGCTCAGACTGCGAGCACACGTCGACGTCGAGAGCCTCTCTCTCGGGCCCGTCGAACACCATCACCTTCCCCGTCTTCTGGCCGAGCTCCCGGATGCACTGCCAGTCGGAGAGCTTGAACGACTCGTCGCCTCGGTCTTTGAGGTCGATGCCGAGGACGTATGCGTCTCGGACGGGCGCCTGGCCGGCCTTGCGAGGATACGGCAGGCGTAGCGGGGGGGTCACTTCGAAGTGCTCGAGGACGTAGGCTTTGATCTTGGCCTTCTTCTTCTTGGTCTGGTCCCGGAAGTCGGCCATCAGGGTGGAGAGGGGGCAGTAGACGTGGACCTCGCCCGGGCTCATGTCCGTCCGCTCGCTCAGGAGGGCGACCACGTCCTTGTCCATGGACGCCGTCGCGTGCTTGAGATACGTCGCGTCGAAGTACGCGTTCCAGGAGAGCGGGAAGGCCTTCTTGTGTTCCCGCATGATGTGCAGGTAGACGAGGCGGGGCTTGTACAACAGCCTGTCTCGATCGCCCTCGATCTTCTCCCTCAGCGACGGGTCCGGTGACCTTATCTTCACCGGGAAGTCGAAGATGCACACGCGGCGCTTCTGGGACCCTTGGTTGTTCTCGTACGCCATCGTCTCGTTGCCGGACGCCACGAGCGGTGGCAGGCGGGCCTCGATCGCCTCCATGTACTTCCGGTTGATCGGCACGCTCTGTCCGGCTATCCAGCTCTGCATCGCTTGCTGGGAAATGCCCAGCTTCTTCGCCGTCTCGTCCAGCAACACCAGCTTCTTGCCCACGAACGCCTGCATCCCGAAGGTCTTCTCGGTGTCGGAGCCCGTGTTGCAGACGTCGTTTTCCGCGTAGAACTTGGCGAGGATGCTCTCCAGCAGGGTGCTCTTGCCCGAGCCGGCCTGACCGACCACGTAGAACAGCTTCTCCCAGTTGTCGTCCCGAATCTCGCCCAGCAGCCTGCCCACGAACGCGTAGAACATGACCAGCACCGTAGAGCTCATCCGCTGGCTCTTGAGCATCCGCAGCAAGCTCTCCTGAGAAGACTCGATCAGGTCGGCCGGCGGCATGTCCTTGCACCTCTCGTAGTCCTCGACGTCGAAGTCGCGGTCGAAGTAGTTGCACGCGATCACCGTGGGCCGCAGCATCCGCGCCATGTCCTCCTTCTTGACGAACGCGTCGTAGGGGCCCCGCTCGAGGTCCACGAACTCCGGGAACATGAGCGCGGTGCTGACGAGCGCTACGTACACACCGTTGCGGAACGAGAAGAGGTAGCGGCTCGAGGGAGCGAGCGTCGGCAGGGTGATGTCCACACGGTTCTCCACGAAGTAGCGGCCCACGTTCCAGTCCTGGTCCTTGAGGTTGAACACCTGCGAAACCTTGTCGGGTGCCTCCCAGGAGGTGCACGCCTGGAACACAAACTCCTTCACCGAGCACACGCGCTCCCAGCTCGCGGTGCTGCCCCTCTTCTTCCAGCACGCCTCCTCCCTGTACCTGTAGCCGGAGACGAAGAACTGGCTCTGGAGATAGGTCAGGAGCAGGAGCCGCCCCTCCTCCTTCTTCCGCTGCTTCCCACCCTGCCCCTCCGGAGGCCGTCCGTCGTACTGCCGCAACGCCCTCTGCATGGCGTCCACGAGCGAGATGGCGGCGTCGGGAAGCGTCAGCGCCTGTTCCACCTCGGGCAGAGCTTCCGCGAGGCGCCGGACTGCCACGAGGAAGCCGCTCGTGGAGCGACCCCGGAACCCGCACAGGTGCTCCACGGGCCGTCCGACGCGAACCCGATACTGCAGCACAGCCTTGCGCATCCCCCACATGAGCACGAAGATCCTGTGCTGCTCTCCTCTCGAGGGCACCTTCGCGAGGACCGTCGGCTCGGGCAGCGAAGCGATGAGGTGGTCCATCTCGGTCTCGAACGGCAGGTCCTCGGTCCGCCTCGGGACGGTCGGAGTGGACCACGCGCTACCGCCGGATCCCGGCTCGTGCTGCGAGGGGCCAGCGGAGGCAGCCCTCGTCCTGATGGGGGGCAGCGCCTCGGCTGTACGGCGCCGCTTGGGGCCCCTCAGATGATCGGGCAGCTCGACCTCGTCATCCGAGGGGAATGCACCCCGCATCCTACCCACCTCGCCCCAAGACAGGGCATCTTCTTCGTCGCCCGTCTCCACAAAGCCTTCCAAGGACCCGGCAACGTCGTCGCTGGCGTCGGCGTCCTCGTCTCGCCGGAATTCGGCGTCCTCGATATCTTCTCCCTGCGTCTCCTCACTCGTGGGTCCTGCATCGAATGAATCCATGATCTGCTCGGAATGAGCTCCTTCGGCCCCTTTTGAAGTGCGACTATCCGCCAAATAGTCCGACGTCACAGTCCCTCAAATAGCTCTCTCTCCGGCACGCCAGCCTCATTCTCCACACTCATGGACGCGGAGAACAAGCGGCGCCGGCTGGAGGCGGGCGCGCCGGAGGAACTGAATGCGAGCATCAGGTCGTGGGCCGGGCGCGAGGGAATCCTCTTCCAGAAGCCCCCGACGCACTCGGCATTCCCGATAGGCAAGCAGGCAGGGTTCTCTTTTCGCGTGGAGTCCAGATTCCAGAACAAGAGGCTCAGGAGCATCATAACCGAGGGTCTGGGACGACCGTTCGCCATCACCGAGCGCGCGCAGGGTGCATTCGCCTTCTTTCTCGACGTCGACCTCCGGTTAAGCGATCCCGAGTGGGTATCGGACTGGGAACGAGCGACCGAACGGGCCACCCTGGGTCTCTTAGAAGCGCTGGCGCCCGTGTTTCCGGACGCCAGATCTTTGGTGACGCAATCGACCACGATCACATTGGACGACAAGCGGAGAGTCCCGGTGAAGGAGGCGCTCGGTCTGACGGGAAAGAGGGGGGTTCACATCGTATTCGACCGTCTCGTCGTCGACAAAGAACGCGCCATGGCCATACGCAGGTTCCTCGTCGACGCCATGCGAGCAGTACCGATGGGGTGCGACTGGGAGCGGGTCCTGGACGAGAGCGTCTACAAGTCCGGCTCCGGCCTGCGCAAGCTCTGGTCGACCAAGACCATCAAGGACAAGGGCTGCCCCGTCGCCCGCGTCGTGCCTTCGGAGTACGTCGTCATGGGCATGTTCAAGGGGACGCGCCTGGATCCGGAGCGCACGCGGCGCCTCTT